TCTTCTATCGAGCCCCTCCATCGGTGGCTGATAGCGATGTGATCTATTTGGGTCCAACGTTGGGACGAATTCGGGGGTCGCCATGTTAAAAGATGTTTTTCCTTATGCTTAAAGTTAGTATTTGCAAGGAACAGGCGGTTATCTGAGCATAGCTGCAACAGACGGTCGCCATTATCTGTTCTTTGAGCCACGACACCATAAGATCCACCTAGGTGTCTTTCCCTATCGCTTAGTTTACCTACTTGAGCATTAAAGTCACCGGCCACTATTACTACATCCGAGCGCCTAGCTTTTCGGAGAAGGTCCGAAAGCTTTCTGTAAAACTCATCTTTTACATCATCTGAGCTGCAGTCAGTGGGAGAATAGGCAGAGACGACGAAGAGGCAACGACGAGTGTCCCTATCTTTCCGGATCCTTACTGTTCCGTTCAGTCGGACAGCGCACAAACGACTGTCTACTGGGATCCACTCTAAGAGAGCTAGTTCTGCCCTAGGACTCAATGCTATACCTACGCCGGCGAGGCCACGGGAAGCAGAATCAGGGCTTCCAGATACACGAAGCGTAAATCGAGTCGGTTCTTTATTTTGGCATGGTGAGGTCAAATGAATGACGCTACTCGGATCCTGTATGCGCGTTTCGGAGACGCAGCACACATCGATGGCGCGAGATTCTAAAGTCCTAGCTAAGGAAGCCTGCTGTCCTATTTGGCAAAGTGTTCGTACGTTAAAAGCTCCTACGTGTAGTTTAGAGCGTGGTTTCAGGAGACCAGGAATAGCGTTCCACGTACTCGAATCGTTTGCCCTAGCGGTGCGAGGTGATAAAGAGACGTGAGGAGGGTTAGTCATGGAGATAAGAGAGGTATTAGGAGGTGTAGGAAGGATTTGAATGTGACCAACTTGGTCTCGTGTGCTGTTACGGGTATGAGGGCTGATATCACTTCCCGGCTGCCCACACCGTGGAAGGGTATTTCTTGAGGAACCTGAAAAGGAAATTGGATTAGTGTTGGTCTTGACGACCTGGGAGCGTGACCGCAGAGCCCAAGGGACAACTGCTTGAGGCCGGTCGCGCACGGCCTTTTCGTGGAAGGTTTTTAATGTGTTAGCTCCGTTCTTCAAAGGGCCTTACCGCCGGAGACGGAAATCCGTGAGGTAAGGTGAGGTGTGACATTTTTAGGGTCGACCTTTTCTAACCCCACCCCTCCTTGTGGGAAGGCAGCATCGCTGCAGATGCTGGTTGTCCGAGGGAAACACCTTACTGCTGTCACACCCCTCTACAGTCAGCAGTACGACTTCGCCCTCAGACCTTGAGTTGCTGCTTTTAGTCTTACCGTTCTCCAATCGACCTGCCTGGCATGGTAGAACCTACAGGAACATACGTTCCAGCCAATATAGCTCGGCTGGGTCATCACGATAGGCAAGCCCGACCACCGCGTCAAGGTGGCAGCTTCGGTCGGGAGTTATACCATAAGAATGTACAGATAATATTAGTCAATAAAATGTTTCAGAAGTTACTCGTGATTTAATCTGCGCTCGGATATAACAATAAGGTGCTTAAAAATATACAATATAAATTAACATCTTATGAATAACAGTTGATGACTTAAAAAGCAACTAACAGTTGTTTGACCCTGCTATAAAATTCTTCGGTAGAGCATACTTACGATGCCTTAGAGAACTGAAATTAAGTATTTTAAATCTCAATATGGTTTACATTACTTTTTGGTTATTAAAATGGTAAATAATAGTCTATAGTTCTAAAGGATTCCTAACTAAAGTTACAGACGGTCAATTGATTTAGATTATGAGTTACTAATTCAATATGTCTGTTGAAGTTAAATTCGTTGTTCTGTTTGAACAAAAGATAAAATTTGACATTTTTAATAAACTAATACAGGGATATGTAAAATGTTTACTAACATAAATAAGAGTAGCAGTAAAATACTTGATGGACAGGAGTATAATAATAATAATGAGGATATATCTTAGCCCTGTTGGTAATTTGTCTCAAACTGAATAATTGAATGATAGTGTGTCTAATAGAGGTGTAGTGGCTGGTCCTATGTCGAACCCATATAGCTTATTATACCTTTGGGACAAACTAATTTATCCATTCTTCCTAAGTCACTTTTTTACCTTCTTATAATTATTCCCTTAACAACCTTAACTGTTTTTATATGAGCGTATATTTGTGTACGCTTCTTATTCTATTCATCACGTCTGTAACTTATTTTATCTGGCTATATAGATATCGATTAACACTTGATTAAATGGAGTTGGCTCATATACCTTCTCTAATGCGTGTCATTTCGCTTAGCTCTCTTCCCTTCGCTTTTTTCGCTTAATCCTTCTGATTGTTTGTCCAGATCAGTGACTATACAAAATATTTGTATTCAAAAGCCCATACTCGTATTAGGATTAATTAATTCCCTTATTCACCAACAAGTCGAGAATTATATATTAGGATTAACGATATATATATCAATAACAATGATGAACAATCAAAGTGCAGTCAGATCCCGGGCCACTAAAAGGTGCTAAACAATATAGTGATTGAAATGTTGTGAGAATATAGAGATACTTTTTTGAGCAATTAAGAATTCACTTGGTACTGTTTCACTTGAATATTTCCATTGATGTTTACGACTGCAATTGATCAGTCTCTTATTGGCATATGTGCATACTGTGTGTATTGCCTCGATATTGCCCTAATTTACAAGCATAATTGGCAAAGATTGATAGTGGCTAACAGTGCGATCCACAACACGTGTTTCGTCCTCTTTTTGGGACCCGTCAGCTGGATGTACCTGCATCTCACAATTGATGTCCACTCTGGGACTCGAACCCAGTACTCTTTTGCTCGAAACGCTATCACGTTATCTACTTATCTACTGAGTTCTGATAGCCAGCAACAGATTATACTTTTGTTAATGTCCATTTATTTGATCTATATGATTTAATTATTATGGTGAATAGAATCATTAACAGTTACATAAAGTAGGCCTTAGATAGTCTTATTGCAAACAATCAGGAAAGTTACAGTCTACTGATGTCACATGAATGAGTTCAAATTATTGTTTAGTATCGGTTTACAGAATAAAAAGAACGACTTGAATTTTCTTGTAATATCAAGTAACTTGACTTGAAATCTAACTAGACAATTTTCATTTGCATGACATAATCACCACTGTTTATCAGCAAATATGAAATTTTATGTTACTGTTTAAAAGACTGATATAAAACAAATTAATATTAATGGTGACTATATTTAGTACACCTTATTTACACAACTTAATACATATGTTTTCCGTATGTATTTCATGTTATTAGCCAGTGTAATGACAATTAATAATATAAAAAAGATGATTAGAAGGCACCTAATAACACCAAGTAATCAAATCATGAATCACCATCTAGTATGATCTAGCGATTTTGGATCAGTACTATACCTAATGACTCCGCCTGGAGTCCTTCTGAGGGCTACTGCCAGTCCCAAGCCTAGATAAAGGAGAAGGGTTGGGCATGGGGTTAACGACCCTATCCCGTAGAAAACGAACTCGCTAAAAAACGCTAACCAGAATAATGCTAATTGCAACTTATCTTCTGTTTTCATTTTCTTTGGGCTAGAAACGAACATTATTCATAATTATTTTTGAAAGTCTTGTTAAATACGCAACAAGAGGATTTAGTAGTTGATAGAATGAGCAATTTAAAAAACAGAAATATTGGCTCAAAATCTCCTTGATAAATCGTCTTACCTAACTTCTATAATACCAACCATAAATAGGTCTCTTTCTTTGGCAGATTAAGGAATATGAATTCTTCGGTCCACCGAACATATTCAGTGAAGGATCTTTTAAGCAGTTTCATTCCTATCATTGCACACCAATGTAGGAATATGCAGGCAAACGTAAAATATATCTTGACTAACTTAGGTAGTGAAGATTCATTACCTGAACAACCAATTTATCATCTGTACTTATAAGCCTGAATGATTTTTTATCGGCAGAGGTTTTTTATCAAGGTTCGTTTCTATAGAACGGGGTTGTTAGATCTGTGTCTGAATCTCCTTCGTTATCCGAACTTGAGACTATCAGTAACCCTAGAAGCGCTCCAGGTGGAGGCACACCAAAAAAACATATTGAAGCCAGAGTTGGAGGCAAATGTTAAAGGAATGAATAGCACATGAGAATAGCTGAACAGGAGAGCATAGAACAGAGTTGGCTACAAATTCCTGATCGGTGTTCTATGATCCAAGAAGGGGAATAGGCATAAGTAAATAACTGATCAGCCTAACCCTTACTTTGATCTGAATCACTTCATGTATTTCTTATATACAAACGATACTTTAAAGATATCACATATTGGTTGATTTCAACCTATGGGTGTCTTTGACCTTAACAGTTCAAGTTTTCTATACATAAACTAGTGAACTGATATACACTTAACATGTCTATAATAATCACCTTAGAAATCTCAATATCACCTTAACCTACATATGAATTTAAGTTCAATATGACAAAATAATTCACTTAAATAGCGTTGAAGGGGTCAACAACAAGTGATCATGAGATGGTGGAGAAGACTTGTAGCTCAGGGGGATGATTTTGAAGGAGTTTTGTCCTCTAAGCTGGATGATGTCCTATAGGACAGGTTGTGAACCACATGTGGATAAATTTGAACACTTCACTTCTATCTGAAGTTTGTGCTGATGATGTCGTTCAGAAGAACGTTGAAAGCTCCACAACCAAACCGTCCAGCTCAAAGAACAAACCTCCATCAAAAACAACTGATCGTTCTAAATTTTCCTCTATAAGAAAAATTTATAATTGAAATATATTAGGATATCAATTGTGACTACCTGATTGATAAGTAGAAAACTATTGCAAAAGACCATATATATATATATAACAATGCTGGTGGACGATATAGGCTCCTCCACGAGGGGTAACCGACATACATAAATGAATTAATTATCATATGTATATGTCAATATCTACTTACATTAATCTTCACACTATCATGATTATTATATATACTTTCACAATGAATTGTGTTAATCCTACTGAATGTATCCCTTCTATTATTTCCATCTACTGATAATTGATAATTGGTGTATTGTTCATTTAAATCAACAGTATTATTATTTTTATTATTGTATAAATGTTTTCTTATTTTTATTGATTGAAGTGTTTGTTTATTGTTTATTTGAATCATTGATCTCTTTGAAATATTATTGAATAAATCTAATTTATACTTCGATCGAATAGATTGTTGCTGGGTAGTTACAAGTGAAGAATTGAAGTACTGACTATGTGATTTTTTATTAAAATCGCATGTTTGATAATAATGATAGTTATTATTATTATGATGATGATTAAGTGTTGCTAAGGAACTTCTCTGTGGTTTACTAATATCTGGAAACCATAGATTAGACTGTGATATCAATGGTATAACATGCTTATGTGTATATTCCTGTCGGCAATTCATATTCATGCAATAATATTGAATTCAAAGAAAAAGAAACGTAGAATTACACTTGCTTTACTCTTTTATGTGTTTATTTGGTTGTTTTCTTTTTCCTTTTCATTTTTTTTAAAATTTCGTATTGTTTTTATTCACTTTGAAATTACCATCATTATTATAATTAAATATAAACTACCAATGACCTAGGATTATAATTAGTCGTTGACTTAGCAACCAATAAATTTATCTAAAGAATTAAGTTGAAATCAGTTAGTGAAAGAAACAGGTATGTTTTTTTTTTGAAGTATGTTAGTTTGTTTGTGTACTCTTTGCTATTGTTTATGATGTTACGTTTATACTACCTGGAACATTCTGGTCAATGTGCTGCCTGTTTATGGTATTAATTTAAAGTAGAGGATTTGGGGGATATTAAGAGATAGTAGTTCTATCCAAATGATTGACTATCGTTTGGAAAGTGTTCAATAGTCAATGATAATTAACTGACTTGTTGAATAGACTGGGTTTTATAATATTCAAATATCACTAATGTTATAATCTCTTTCTTACGGTTATGACCCAGCCATTCCTATTGCTTAGTATTCTCGGACACCAATTCACTCGACAAGTCCCCAAATCAGAACACGGTTGAACAGGAAAGGGATTATATTCCAAATAACAAGGTTTGATGGAAGTAAGATGCACAATAGAGAAAACGTTAGTATATTTATAGTTTTTGCATGAGAAGATTCTAGAGTATTCTCCAACTATCGACTAGTGCTGATTGGATAAGAATTAGCCAATCAGCGTGCACCAAAGCAATCGTGCATTGAGCATGCTTTAATCCAGTCTATGTCCCGCTGACAATTGACTTCAAATGTACTGAGTGGGACTTGTTTCATTCTGTGATGTAGTTAGTCATGGAACTAGAGTGTTATAAATGTTTACTATTTTCATAGTTTAAATCATGAACTAATCTTAGTTAAACTAACTGAAATATTTGAAGTTAGACAACTACACCAGTGGATAAAATCATGATGGTCTATAGGTTGGGTGTTCTTGTTCAAGATCTAAAGCCCTAGGTTTGATTTTTGGATGAAGGTTTGTGGGTGCATACTACAGTAATGTCTGTTACTAGGATGAAGGAGAAGTTCAATGGTTCCTTATTTTCAATGGTTGTCTAGCTAAGATCAGTTCACAGATCGCCTATATTTTTACTACAATTAAAGGTTTGAAGAAATATATGCACTTTTTTACATCAAATAAAGTGATTTCATTAGGAAATATTACTTTTTTCTTCAATAAAAAGATCACTATCAGATATGTATAAGTAAACAAGCTTTAACTATTATAACTAGTCGATCAATAGTAAATGCACTTGTTCCGTTATTTTATTTGTTATACTAGTAAGAAGATGTATAAATCCTTACCTCTCCAATTCACTATATGAAACATCAAATGAATTTAATAATTAAGACTCATAACTCATGTGATTGCATAGACAAAATAGAAAACCGCAATGTGCCAGAAATATTAAATCTCAATAGATATATGCTGAAGATATTTTAATAAAGGACTTAGTAACAAGTATGTAGTTTATTGATTATAAACTATATCAATCAAATGAACCAATAGTATCTAATATGTTATGAAGTCAATGAAATGCAATTAGAATTCATTTGAACTAAGAAGTGGACCCCCTTTTTCATTCTAACATCTTATTAAAGTTGAATAGCTTGACAACCTTTGGTTTAACCTGACAATTGTATAAAAGAGACTATATATATATATATATATATATATATAACTTAGAAAATAAAATTGCACAAGCGAGTGGCTATCAGGACTCAGTAGATAAGTGGTTAGCGCGATGGTGTTTGTAGCGAACTGTAGTGGGTTCGAGTCCCGGAATGAATTTCAACTCGGAGATGCAGATATATCCAGATGACGAGTCCTAAATAGGACGAAACACGTGTCAAACTGGATTCCACTGCTAGCCACTATCCATCTTTGCTTGAAAAACTTGTGATTTAAGGCAATATCGAGGCAATCCGAACAGGATGCACATATGCTAATAAGAGACTGATCAATTGTAGTCTTAACTAACAATGGGAAGATACAAGTAAAACAACACCAAGTGAATTTAAACGTAAGACAGTTCACTAAAATGTAAGTGCATCATTGTTGGAATCAACAAAAAGACGTTAAGTTACGCTAGACCAGATAAACACAATGAGATAAAATCCCAGAAATAATATTCACTAAATAAGTTGAAATAATACTGATATCGATTATAGTTATAAAAAATGATTGATTATGAAGAGAAATCAATGGAGGGAAGCTTATCTTTTTGACCAATTCATTTACTTAAGCTGTATATTCGTATTTATAACTATTTGAGAAATATATGATTTTATAATTACTAATGGAGCCCTTCTGAGGCTGCTGCTGGTCCCACGCATGGGCTCGGATAAAAGAGAAGTGTTGGGCATGGGGTTAGCAACCCCATCCCGTAGAATATTAACTCGCTAAAAATACTTTAATCAGAAAAAAATATTTAACTATAATGTAAATGTAAAATAAGTCGCGATTGAAAGTTATTGCTTTAATTATTCGAATCATAAGTTGGATTAACTCTTATCATTGTAAATTGCAGATTAATAATAATAATGACAATAATAACTTACATAATGATAATGAGAAATGAAGTAATTAATGATTGGTACAACTGATCGCATCATAATAGAATCAGTGATTTTAAATATCTAAAGAATTCTGCGTGATAATTTCTCGTTGCTGAGTACTCTTAACTTCTATTCGATAATACAACAGGTCCTACAGGAGGTCAGTTGCGGCCCTGATACCTCAGTGGTAACATCTCTGACTGTGAAATTGGGTGACACGAGATCGAATCCGTCAGGGAGCATCAGTTCCCTCAAGATTACAGGTACACCTTGCCGAGGAGTGCCAGGTAACACGAAACCTAGGTTCAGGGTATCCTGTTAACTAACTACAACCGACATCTTATCTCAACATAGTGCATGCAATGTCGAGTCACTTAGACTAGAGTCCACAAAAGCAAAAACGCTAACTAGAATAAACAATTCAACCATCTTACACAATAATTACTATCAACAGTTTATTTCGATCGCCGACAGACTAATTCCATGCTAATCATTAGTAACAAAACAGTGATATATTTATATTATTCAAATGAGTAAAAATTACTTTATTATTAACATCTATCCAATACACAATATATTTAAAATTATTAAGTTAAACTTCACTAATTTTGCATTAATAACCAGACTACTGAGGAAAGTTTATCAACCATTAATTTAAGCATTTTTCTAAACATTGATTGATATTTTCCCCACCGTTACCAATCACTAACCTGTAGCCATTCTAGGAATAAGACATCTGGTGGAAACATTGATTAGATCAACCGAAGAATGCTGGAATTTCGACGGAGGACCATCATGGTTGTTTCCTGTGTTGTCCCGTTTCATGGCAGCTAAGGCGAATGGCTGCCGGGTGAGACTTATATTTATTGGCAAAGGGATATCATTAATCCATATATCAGTATACATTACATATAATAGGATTTTGGTCTAAAAGGTTTTTAGAGATCCGTTTGATCGGTAATTGGTACAGTGAACACATATAAAGTCTCAAAAGATAGAGCTTAAACTCTTCAAGTTTCGAAGCTAGCGCATGATCATGAGACTATTGAATTAGTCTCTTAATATTTTAATCAATTCGAAATAATGCTTAACTATTACTCAACGTCATGTATGACATTTGTTTCACATCCAATATGCATAAATTCAATCGGTCATATATTATCATTAGAACTTCAAGAAGCTATCTGAAAGTAACTTACTTGTAAGGAAACAATGTCAGTTATGATTACACAGTTTAATTGAGATTCTCTTTGAACTTGTAGTTGGTATTCATTATTAGTCAATACTAATGGGAATATCATTAAAAATCAGGGAATTTTGGAAAAGTGTTTCATTCGAAGTTAGTCAGTATAGAATACTACCTACAAATTAAACGAATCTACACAAAACTTCATTAGGATGATCCAATTAATACTGACCTGACCTATGCTGAATACCAAAAAAAAACATGTAGTTTAATTGTTGTTTGGTTAACGTTTATTTACAATAATCCATTCGGACTGTAAAATGTGCACACACACACACATTCAGGTGCAGATCCATACGTATGAACTACTTATCAATCTAACATGGAGAGCATGTGACTGATATTACGTTGACTTGGAGTATATTTATATATTCGATGTAGTTTGTACTGTAAGGATTATGACAAGCTATGAGACAATATATATACACAGACATAAGTTTACTTACAAACATTTGAAGAATGCAGTACCTTTACAAGTAATTAGCCCTTAAATGTTTGTTTATTGAAATATTCAATAATAATAATAGTAATAGTGGTAATAATAATAACCATTACTATTATTATTACTATTGAATATAAATTTGAGTCAATAAATGTAGGCAAACGATGGTGACTTATTTCTAAAAAAATGAATCTGTCAATGATGTAGTCAATTAATCATAATAATTGGTTAGACAGTAACAATACATAATTCCCATGATGCAGTTAATAATAACAGTGATGGCAATAATAATAAGAAGAAGAATACAATGACAGGTAGTATAGTTTTGCATTAGGTATATTAAATAAACGAATAATCCATTAATAATATAAACAAATATCCTTATTGTGAACATAGTTAGCTTTATCAAAATAAGTATGATGTAGACAGTGTAGAACGATGTGAATTCAATGTTATCACATGTTGTCTGGCCTGTCCTCGCATCCTCTTCCTTCCCCCTCTCTCTGTATATATATATGATGGAAATTATAATATTTCCATAGACTGTGTATTAAAGAAGTGATGTTAGTTCAAAAACTATTTATTACCTGAAAGAAATGGACCTTCATTTTGTACTAGTATTGGATTCCCTAATCTACAAGCCAGAGAATTCAGTCGCGATCCCGGACACTTATCTATGAGTGTTGATATTTAAAATTATTCTACTCACTATATCGTCTATTGTCAGAGGGTGGATAATTGTTTTACAGTTGATATGGTCAAACTACACTAGTCACTGCTTCTCTCTATAACTCCTGAAATTATATTCACGAGCTAATCATTAATGTGCACATAATTATTATCAGTGGTGATCTAACCAAAATCAGTTCGTGACAGAAAGTCTATGAAAATGAATATATATTAATTTTAATAGTTGAGATCATGAGTCAATTGAAGATATACTACCATGGAAAACCTGCAAGCACTGGACGGCCGTTTCGTACTAGTATGTGACTCCTAAGCAGTGTGCATTCACCATCCCGCCTAGCAAGATTCGAAACCAGGACCTATCAGTCTCGCTCTCGAGCGCTTAACCACTAGAACACTGAGTAGGCTGGCATCCAACGGTTTTAATGTCTAACTTCAACTAATCAACGAAATTGAGCAACACATCCATCAATGTTGAAGTTAGATATTAAAACCATTGGATGCCGGCCGGCCCA